AATTACAACAAATACATAACTAAAATATATTTGAGGGTGGCATGAAATTTCTTCGAGGGGGGTCACATGCGGCCAGCAGACTGCCAGCATGAGACCACCGAGTTAGCATTTCTCTAACTGCTTTGAGGAAAACACAACATTTGAGACAAAGTCATAAAAGTTGTTCTAACTATAAATTACCTTTATGATTATGAACGTTGTCTTGCTTATTTGCTTCAGTTGGACACATATTAAACCTTATGTCTTTGTAAAGGATAAAACTGACTCCTATATACGTTAGATATGGGAAAAAATGGGAAAAAAAATGCGAAACCATCCATGCAATCAGTCCACTGTAATTCTAGGAATCCAGCCCTAAAAGTAACTATGGACGTTTCCGTTTGCTGCTCCTTTGTTTTTAGTTGCGTTCAAGGGAGTTGGAACCCCAAAATTTTCAAAAAATTGTGATTTCGAATTTTTGCATTTTCAAATTCTCTACACTTTTATCTTTCTAAAAATACCATTCTTTAATCTCTATGAAAATTAGAACTGTAAAAAAATCTAGTTTTAATTTGTCATCTACTGCTTTGATCAATGAGGATTTTTACATAAAAACGAGTTTTTCTCCAAACGTGATTTTTTTTATACTCGATGTACCTTTTCTCCGGAACTACTGCTTACAGATATCTAAACTTTTTATAGCTTATTTATTAGGTTTCCTAATATTTACTAAAATGAGCTTTTTGTAATAAATTTAGAAAAAATTTTAATTTTTTTGTGTGAGAAAAGTGCTAAATTTTACTATGCTTAACAAAACATCCTGTGATTTACTCTAAAATTCAAAATGTTTCAAAAGCTCATTTAAATATAATCAGATAGGTATAATTTAATTACAGAAAAAAATTCAAGCTTGTATCTACAGCAGATTTTGAGAAAAGTTACATGGAAAATGGCCAATTTAACATTGTCGGTATGGGGTTTCTGATACCCCTTCAGGGCTAGATTGTTTCCTGAATGATCATATGACCATTTATTGGCCCTTTACAATTCTAAGAATAAATAGATTGAGCATTTTTTCTTTTATAACAACAAAGAATATTTTAGAACTAAATTTATGTGAGTATTATGTTCAAATATCTTTTAACCGATCCCCATTTTATATCTTTCCGCTCCATCTTGGGAAGTATTAACATGCCATAAATGGTGTGTCAATCATATATGAATCTTAGAATAAAATATTATGTTGTAATTTAATATTCAGAAAAAAGTTTACAAACAAAAAAAAAAAAAACATTTTTTTTCCTACTTTTGTTCTTCCAAAATTTTTACCGCCGTAAATTATAAGAAGTTTAGAGAAAATACATTAAATTCTAAACTTATAGAATATATTTGGTTTAATGTCAAGTGAATGACACATTTAGCCTTTTATACTGATATTCACTCTAAAACGTTATACTATTTTGCTAGTTATTAAGAAGTAGCTGTCGAAAATTCAGTCACAGTTTAAACTTATTTGAAATGCTTCCGTAAAATATTTTTCGAAAACAAAATGGCCGTAAGCTCCAAACTTCCGGCCATTCTGAGATTCGAAGAGTAGAAAATTAGTTTTTAATATACAAGATTTTTTATGCGTAAGAATTTCACTTATAAATTTAAAAACAAAAAATTTCATTTCTTCAGTCAGAAATATTTTCTTTTTACGCTTTTTAAAATAATAGTAAGACATGCAGAAAGCGCCATATCGGGAACTTTAATCAGTTGCTGAATAATGTAACTTAGAAATATTGTGATACCCACTGTACGCCTTTCGTAAAATATTATTTAGTATAAATTTTCGCATCCTTCCTTCCTCTCAGAAAACTTCCTTTTCCTGGTTAGAATACTGAGTAGACACTGCACGTGCTTATTACAGTATCGAATAATTCTCCATTACTACAGGAGGCTCTATTTAATGCGATCACGTTTGCCCTCGTTTTGATACTTTAACCGAATGATAACATTAAATGGCCAAAGCAAATATCATACAAAAATATCAGGGCAGTTTTACAAATGGAAATACACTTCAGATAAGGAAGTGAATACTTTTATTAATTAGAAATAATTTTTAAATTCTTTAATAAGAGATTACCATCATTTGTTACATAAAAGCGTTTTTATAAAATTTTAGAGTCATTAGGTTACATTGATGCAGAAATGTGAAAAATGTGCAAAGCCTTCGCCGAGATTTTGAGCTCTGAGACCTCCTGAATACGTGTCAAGTGTGATTCCAGCTACATTACAAAGGAATACGAAAAAGAGGGAGAAAATATCTTATATACTCCCTTTTAAAGGGCGACTAGGAATTAAAAGACCCAATCACCAAATCTTGGCAGTTGACGAATCCTATCTCACCTTGTAACGGACGCCAATAGTAAAGTTCTTTTTCAAAGAATTTTTCAATGTGAGGAAACTGAAGGAACCCGCATTAGCCTCGCCTAGGCTCGAACTCGGACCTTACAAATAAACGTCGAGAGTGCTTCCAGTTACATCACGAAAACATGAAGAAAGGAGAGAGAAAATACCTTATAAACTTTTTCCGAACAGATATTCTACGCGTAAACACAAGGCATGATGAGCGAATTCTTATTGATTACATTGTTCTTATTTATTATTTTAGCTTATTTCTTTTCCAATGTCGATTTAATATCTTCTTCATTAATATTTCAAATAGTGTGCTCGAATATGTGTGTGCAAATGATTGGTAGATGCATTCCTTTGTCATAAATGCTGCTACACAAAATCTCTCAATTTTGCTTGCAAGTTTCCAGTTCCAAGACTTGGTCCATTATTATTGAAGATGCTGCATCTTTTTCATCATCGTTTGTTTCATCTGAAAGTTTAACATTTAAAAGTATTATTCATTGTCTTTTCCGAGATGAAGATTATACATTATTCTGACATGAAGTTTATTCTGAGATGCAGTTAAGTATATGTTCTGTATATGCAGTATATAAAAAAAGTTAACAATTTCTTACTTATTTGTATTTGCAGCAATATTCTCCAGGTTATAAAGTATTCTAACATTTATCTCACAAGCATGCATTTCATTACTAATTCCGCGATTACCATGTTGAATTACGGACGTAGTGGCTCCTGTAAAGAATGCAACTTCCATATATTCAAAAGAGATTATTACATCCCGCGTTGCGCAATCAAACATTCACCTGAAGAAGCCTTTTTTTGTTATACATTTTAAAATCTAGTCATTAAACTCTGATGACATCATTTATTACGCTGATCCATACGGTCGCCTATTCTGTAGGTCTTGAAGGTTTAATACTTCTATTTTCTGTTTCAAGTATTACACTTTTATATGAAAAATTTTAACCACACTAAATGATTTATGTATTAAAATAAACAGTGAATCTCAATGGTTTAAAAAAAGGGTACTTCAAGAATTTGATCGCAACATCTGAATGGTAAAGCGGTGAGTTCTATATCTGTAACACCCTTGTTTTAATTTTCCTAACAATAAATGAAAGTAAACCTGTTATTTAAATGTTTGTGACTAAATATATATTTTCAATTATACTACATTCTGTTTTGGAATATTTTGTAAAAGCTTTAGTTAAATATTTATAAAGATTAGTAATCCTTTGATGAAATCAAGAAATGATAACGACATAATTCAACAGCTATGTTGACGCTTCGTTGAAGTTATTCGAATTTGCATGAACTTTGATCCAATGAATATAGTATTGCATCGTATGAATAATTTTGGTAAGTATTTTTTTCTCTAATCCTTAATATTTTCCCCTGATTAAATTAGTTCTATTGAAATACAGTATTACTATAATTGCCACTTTCATTTTGAATCAGAATTCTCGAGAGAAATCTCTGGCTTTAAACACTTTGAATTTATAACTCTCACTGCCTGGTTCACCCAACAAAAATTTACCAATTCCTTTGTATTAGTTCCTTTCTACTTTGTACTAGCCTGTCCTCGCAGTGCGGCGGTTGCTACAGTGGCCTTTTGTACTTTCCCAACTGGTTACAGCAAGAAATGAATATCCAGTTGTTCCAAAAAGGTCACTACGGAACTTCTACCATCGAAGGTAACGGCCGGTTTCATCGATGCGCGCATCGTATCTATGATGAATCCAAATCCTTCAATGGGATTTAATGGCGCCGAAGCAATCTGTGATGCTGGGGGGGAGGAAGCAAAAAATTATTATCCAATTGTTTCAAAAATCTCACTATGGAATTTCTACCATTGAGGGAAACTGCCTGTTTCATTGATGCGCGCATCGTATCTACGATAAATAAAAATCCTTCCATGGGATTTACTGGCGTTAATGCAACCTTTGATGCTTGGTGGTAGGGAGGCAGATTGAAAGTTGCGTTGCATTGAGACATAGTCTGAGAGCCAAAAATATGATTGAGATTCAACTTTTGTCTTTAATAATTACAGCATTAATTAATGTCATCATCTCTTATATATAAGAAACTTCCAAATTTTTGTCATTTTCTAAGCAGTTACTGTATTCTGAAATATACTCTGTGATATAAGTTGTTAGTAACGTTGAAGATCTGTGGTCTGAATCCAGCAAAATTTAATTGATTCTTCACTTTTGTTCTTTCTGGAAACTTAATAATTTCTACAACGGCCTCCGAACTAAAAATGTGGTGGAAGAATAACTCATAACAGTTTGAATGTGGTTGATTAGGTCTCATGAATTTCCTTAATTGCTCATTAAGTTAAGGAGCGTATAAAAAATTTTAAAATTCCCTCCTCCTGGTGTAAATGATTAGTGCATTCAGTTAACAATTGGAAGATCTGTGGTTCGGACCCCAGCGAAGGATATACATTCTTCTCATTTCTTGCACCTGGAAACCGAATAGTATCTACAGCTCTTCTCTTAGAGAAAATACATATCCAGGAAGGTTCAGATCTCGAAAGCTCCTGACCATAGGGCTGGCTGTAATAGAACAATAATTTATTCTATTCGAAAAGAATAGACCAAAAATTAACGTTTACTTACATTCCTTTCTGTTGCAGCTTTTGAGCTTCCCCTTCATCCGCGGTGCTGTCGTATACAGTGGAATCACAGACCAAAGGTGTGTAGGTGACCAATCCTCCAGCATGGAAGAGAAGTTGGACGAACACTAAAGAGGTGGTGAAGATCAGAAAGGCAAAGCAAAATGAGGATGATATTCGACCCTTCTGGAAAAAGAAATTAAAGTTACCAACAAAAATCACAACATTAAAAAGTGTTTAGAATTTGACTTTATTTGGTAGCATAAAATAATCTAAAACTCGTAACAGACATTAAGAGAATTATCTCTGTGTCTGGAATGAACAACAAAGCCTTAAAAAAAGGCTTAAAACAAACTTTATTTATTTAACAGAGCTTTGAACATAAACGCATATCTCCTGCTAATATGATCAGCCACCACTTGTGGCGATGCAGTTTAAAATAACAATCAAAGTCAAAATTTTAAATGTGGACTCAGAACTTCTCACTGGCGTAACAACTGAAGTGACAACACGTATGACTTAAAGCCGAATACAAAGTCTTATCAGAGCTGGCAAAACTAAGAAACGTGGCCTCCAGAAAGCAAAATTATGCTCTGTCTTACAATCCCAAAACCTCAGCTTAAATACTATCTACTCATTTACATTTCTGGTGAAGAAAGAAACGGAAAGGAGAAGTTATAGAATAGGCTGAAATTATAAATAACTGGTTAATATTAAATTTATAAGCAATTAACTACAATGATTACTTTCAATGGGACAGAACCCGAAACTTTTCTTTGTCAGAAGTTTTTGAATTTTTAGAGACAGGCAAATCTTAACTCCCCCCCAAAAATTGTCTGATACCAGAATCTTAAGACGTAATAACGTAATGCAAATGAACATATATGTATATATCTCACAGATTGCATTGTCTCGTTCGTGTTTGGAGGAAGGCTGTTGGGTTATAGCCGATGACGAAAAGAACAGCAGCGTTAACAAATCTTCATTAGAATACATATTACCATGAAACCCTCGTTCATATAATGTATTAAAATTAAACACGAGACTCGTCCACACAAACAAAAACTGCTAGATAAAACATTTAAAATAAATATCAGCTCACGTTCTCAATGTGACAGTTATTTCGATATATAAAGCTGTCTGGATACTTGGAAAAAATCTTTACATATTATGACATTTGGAACCTGATTAGACGAGAATGTCCGACCTTTGCATATAGGTCATTTCCTTAGTAGGAAAACAAATTTTTATAAGAGTTTATTTTGTAAAATAATTTATGTACTTCTTATTTTCATTTGTTTAGTCTCTTGAACATACTATCAATGGAATTACTCAATTGAAAAATAATTTTTTAATGATGAAGAATCACTGAATGAAGAATTCTGATAGCTTGTACATTATATGAAGACACGTGTAAAAAATCGATTCAACAATAAGTTTTTAAGAAATCTAAATCAAATTTTGAAAATGTCGCTTCAGCACATTATATTGTCTTCCAAAAATATTGTATGTACGAAATTTGAACTCGATAGCTTATCATGGAGTTATTTAAAAATCATGACAAACTTTTGATCATAGAGACAAACACCAGGACTGAACTAAACAAAACATTATAATAAAAAGCAGGAGCATCATCTTGCAGCAAACAGATACCTGGTGTCTAAATTATCACAAGATTTGCTACAGATAATGAACACATCCAGAGACTAAAGGGGGATTTGTTCAATGGAAGCGATGATGAGGTTCAGTACATACTCAGCTATATTCTGAAAGGTAACTCTGGATGTGGAAGCTATCTGGCACAAGCCATTACATCAGCATCGAAATATGAAGATAGGACTATGTTAAAGCAGCTTTTAAAAACTACTAGTTCTTTAGTCTCAATACCTGGATCTTTGAATTCTACACTGACTACCAATAAGTATTTGGACACCTGTGATAGAAAAGAAAAACTAACTTTATTCAAAATCAATAGTTGGTAGAGCCTCCACGAGAGGTAATTACAGCGTGGACCCTCCGGGGCATACTTTCCACAAGTCTTTGTATGACAGCTAGTGGTATTTTCTTCCACTCGGCTTGGAGAAGACATAGAAGTTCCTTCACCGATTTTGCACGGGTAGTGCACCCCTGAATTCGGCGATGCAACTCGTCCAAGAGGTTCTCGATAGGGTTTAGATCTGGACTCTGGGCAGGCCAGTCCCTTCGATGAACTCCATTGGCACCATACCAAGCCTTGGTTAACGTCGAAAGATGACAACTGGCATTATCGTCCTGAAAGTAACAGGGGTCCAACCCATAAAACTGCCACAACGTAGGAAGCACATTGTCATCCAAAATAGTGCAGTAGGCATCGGAGTTGAGCTTACCGTGAACGGGGACCAAGGGTCCCAGCCCATACCAGGAGAAACACCCCCAGACCATAATTCCACCTCCGCCGAACTTGACTGTTGGCACAATGCATTCTGGCAGGAGACGGTCTCCAGGTAGATGCCAGACCCAGACCCTGCCATCCGAACAGTAAAGGGTGAACCTTGATTCGTCACTCCAAAGAACCCGTTTCCACTGATCTACGGTCCCATTTCGATGTGCTTTGCACCACATTAACCGAGCAGCGCGGTTGGATTTTGTGATCAAAGGCTTATGGGCAGCAGCACGACCATGAAAACCAAGCAGACGTGCTTCCTTACGGATGGTATTCATGAAACAACACTCCCGGATGCCTGTTGAAACTCCTCGCGGATGAGGGCCATCGGTTGGGTGCGGTTCTTCCGAATATCTCTGGACAGCACTCGTCGGTCTCTATCTCCCAGTTTCGTTGGTCTGCCGACTCGGGGCACATTCCAACAATTACCACTCACCTTCCACTTCTTAATCACATAGGCTACTGTCGATTTTGGGTACTTCAGATCGCTAGATATGTCCCTTAAGGATCGGCCACGTTTGTGATACCCGATAATTATACCTTTCTCGAAATCATAGAGCTCCGAACTGCGAGGCATGCGACTAAAGCCGATGCTGTTTCCTACACGATATATACCGGCGGAGTCCGTGACGTACCTTAGGACCGCAGATATCGTCATTTGCATTTTAGGTGTCCAAATACATATTAGTAGTCAGTGTAGTAGCTTTGAATTCTGGTAGAGAGTAAATATCCAAACCATTTTGAACGATAATATGAATACATTATAAAACACGCAATTCTTAAAATTTTTTAATACATTCTGTAACAGCATTTGGCTACCCTTATCGATATAATGATTAGTGCTGCTGGCTGTTATATCATTGGGCTCAGATACAAATTTCGCAAAAGACATCGATATTGGTAAATGCTTGGGAACACTCCAAATATACTGCAGGCCGAAAGTCTCCTCGAGTGGTTTAGTGATATACAAAACAAAAACTAATCTGCATAAATATATTTCGCTATATCCTTTGGCTAAGAGAGAGAGAAATGTTTTAATGCGCAGCTAAGATTACGTTAGGGGACTTCTATATAATGAAAGTAATATATTATATTATATTTAAGCTGATTGCATAATTTATGTATCCATCACGCAGCAGTTTTTCAGCATGTAGATAAAATCATATCAAAAGTGTGTAGAATAAAGCCCTTTTGTTTTTAAAAGCACAATAAAGAAAAGTTGGAAATTTTATTTATGGAGTTTTAGCTTCGTGTTTTTAAAACATGCATATTCTTAACCATCAAGTAAGAAGTCCTGACCCTAATACCACAGAAAACTTTGGAATATGTTACAAGATACGTTCTCTATTAAGCACGAGTCGTCAACCGTTAACCATGCTACTAAAGATGGGAACAAAATTCAGCCTCAGTTTACTAGAATTTAATGGAAAGCTTTGCCAGAAGGATAAAAACCGTGATAAAACCAGACAGAATATTTGATCTCCAGAAATAACTCAGCGATAGCTTTAGAAAACATCTAAAATAGATATTTGACGACTCTGGTCTGTAATAAAAGCTGGAATATTGCAAAGAGAAGTGGGACAAAACTAAATCTTCAAGATTCTAAAAAAGTTCTCTAATCTTTCTCATCTGGAAGATATCGAATTCTTTATATATAAGAAGAAGGAAAAAGTAAAAAAAATGCATAACTTTTTTAAAATTAAATCAAAGTTGAAATTTGCATTTAATGAAGAATAAATTTAAAAACTCAATTTTTAAAAATGCCCTACACTTATTAAGAACTGCAAAAAAATTTAACAAACCAACTACACAATTTAAATTCTTTAATATTTTTCTTCTCGCAAAGTCGTGCTCTAGCCATTTATAGGCGTTGGCCACTACTAAGGTCAAACAAAGGTCGCCTTATTATAGAGATATCTAATAGGTGGGCCACTGTTGCTTCTATGAAAGGACAGACAAATTACATCCAAGATTCGAACCCGGTACAGCAGTCAAAGACACTAACCACTTTCTCGTCTGGGGGGCAATTCTTGAATCTTGAAGTACGCAATTGTTCTCCAACCTTTTCAAGCTCATTTTCTCAACATAATTTGACAAAATGTTTTGAATAGCAATACATACACTAAAATGTTTTTCAGAGTCTTTTGATATCAAAGCAAGTACAGAGTAGAGAAAGGAAGAAATTCTCTCAAGAATATTAAAGTTGTGGCACTCGGGGAAACCACAAATTTATAGTAGGGATCTGAAATTGCAACAGTTGCATTTCTTTTTTAATGAACGTTTTTGCTGCATGTCAACAAAGTGAAACATTCCTAAGTTTTGAGATCAAATGTTTTATGAACTAAACACGTGTTTAAATGCCACTGCGTAATATCTAAAAGAAGACACTTGGTGGAACGCCACATGGGATTTGTACCTGATTGTGGATTGCCGCTTGAGAGCAGTGTTTCCATTTCTCGTGGCAATTAATTCCAGTCTGCGTGGATAAGATGCTTGCTGTTATAACAAATAAGCATGTTGTTATGGCTGTTTTGCTACTGTTCCAGAAAGCTTAGTATTGGCATTAGTGTAGGTTGCACAACGCTGCGGACCTTTTGCTTCTTTCATTATGCGCTACAATATTGTTACGATTAATACATTTATGTTTGCTACTACTGAGTTTCGTTTCTGGATTATTTTTTATCTAGGTTCATTCATACGAACAGCACTTGGTTTAAATTCTAAACGGTGACATTCAAAGAAGTGTCATACTAAAATAATAACACTTATTTTAGTGCCACCATTTTGTGTAGTAAAGCAAATGTTTTACTAAAACATTTTGAATTTTTTCAGACAAAACGCTAGTAAAATAATTTTAAAACGGGAAAATCTTTAATGGATATTTTTATTTGAGATAATTACGATTCGAACTCGCTGTGAAACCGGCGTACTTACTTTTTTATCATCTATTGAAGTCTGATGTGTTGAAGTGTCTTTTTGAAACTGCTATTGATGATGGTGTGTTAAAAAGTTTTCATAGAGTTTCTTAAAATTCGATGTGTTTTCTTAATTTAAATATTAATAAAACTAATCTTTTGGTAGTTTTCAGTTAAAAAGTTTAATTTTTAAGGATAAGATTAGAAAAAAGAAAAGAATGAGAAGCTTTCAGGTTTTGAATCCAGAATCTTTTCAAATTTCGAGAATTAAAATGGCCATCTCTTATTTCAGTATTCAACGGAAAGTATTAAAGGATGTAGGATGGAAAGAGAATCCTTCCATCCTACATCCTCCCATCAGACAGAGAATCCTATTTGGTGTTTTAGTTTAAGAAATTATATAATTGTATTTCAGTATTCTGTGATGACTTCATGGTTTAATAAGGCCCCATTTAGAAAGACGAAACGAACATTTATTAAAAATATGGTTCAAAGCATAACAGCAACTCAGAGCAGTACGTTGCTCCTACCCCATAATACAATCTACGACCTTCCTCATCCGAGGCTAACACGAAACTCTCAATAAATACATTAACGCTTCTTGGAGAAGAGCTACATGCACCAAGCACGCTCTATTGATCGCCAAACAGTCGCCAGATATCACATATTCAACAGAAAGTATTAAAAGATACCACTATTTCAGAGTTTCCAAATTCGAAAACAGGCACACATTTAAAAGCAGCTAATAGCCAACCAACGTTTCTTTGAGACGTATTTTATATAACAAAATTACAATTGATAAGAAGGTCATAGTTGTTTCAGCCTTTTTAAGGCATCATGCCGTTTAACCGGTCACTCATCAGACAGAGAATCCTTCCATCCTACATCCTTTCATCAGACAGAGAATCCTATTTGTTGTTTTAGGAGTTTAAGAAATTATATAATTGTAAGTGATAGTTAAAATTAACTATTTATTGTGAAGGAATAAAAAACGAGATTTCTAACATTTGTTTTGAGAAAAAAAATTTCTTTATAATTTTACCAGAAAGTGATGGCAGCATTTTCAGCTTGGAGAATCTGTTTCAAAAGAAGATACGAAAGATAATGATCAAATGCAACTATATTACTTAGTACAGAAGGTAATGAAGTCAGTACATTTTCTGTATTAATTTTTTTAATGATTTTGTTCCTTCACAATAGGTCAAATCATTTGCAAAAATATGTATAACCAAGTGCCTAAGATACCTAGAAATTCAAATTAGTGGTTTAATTCTACTGTTGACTCCCTTGTGTTCCCCAGGAAGAGGAAAAAATTAATTTACAGCAGGATAATTTTAAAAGTCATTCCAATAAATGATTTTAATTCATTAATTCTATTTTAAACATGAATTTCTACAACACATTGTATTATTATTATTACTATTGTTGCTACTGTTAACATAGAAACAGTGAGTCATACCTGCGACGATGGACGACTAGACGGCAGGACGGGTGGCCCTTCGGGAACTAGTAAGTGGACAGCGGATGACTGGGAAGAAGTACGTGAACGAGGGGAGAGTTCTTGATGACAGGTGGCTGACTGTTGGTGGAGGTTGTGGAGATCGTCCTTTGAGCCAGGAGCGATGGTCGCGCTGCTCATGCTGGGCTAACCCATCTGAAAGGGAAAAACATATTACTAGGTTCTATTAAAAAATACCATCATAATATCAGCGTAAAGATTAATAAAGGTCTATATACTATATGTGATGACTTAGTTATAGACTGAGAGAAGGTACCAGTTGCTTTAAATACAGTCACGGCCCGGAATAATGGTAAATGTAGCAGACATATTGCTTCCGTATTTAGTTGACTGGAACTTTGGAAAGCATAGCTAGCTTGATAATTAAAACAGCACTTTATTTCTGGACATTCCTTGGACATATCTTAAAACATTTCTTCTTGCTTTATACAGCAATTTGGGTGCCATAAGCATCTCACCATTTTATATATGCAAATCGCAATGTAAGTAATAGATGAAAGCTGCCAACCGGTTAATTACCGTATTTGACGACATATAAGACGCACTGGCATATAAGACGCACCGACATATAAGACGCACCCTTATATAGACGGCCACACACAAGGAAAAAAAGTTTCAATAGCGTGGTTTCTTTTAGTTCTCGCGTTTCGTAAAAGCCAAATAAACAATTATTGAATGCAATTACCTTCATGTATAAGACTGTGTCCTTCACGTATAAGACGCAGGTAACTTTTTTGAGACTAAATTTAGGAAAAAAAGTGCGTCTTATATGCCGTAAAATACGGTACACGCTTGCGTGGTGTAAGCAGGGAAGAAAAGTGACTGCGTATTAGCAGCTGGGATGTTTACAAGTTCCTTTGTTTTAGTTTTGAATGGTGACTGGACAGGAGATTTTGTGCTGCAGATCTTTGCAAAAGAAACTAATGACGTAATTGACGCAGTACAGATTCCTTGAAGGGGGTGTATCTAAATTAAAAGCAATAATTAAAAGGGTTATTTCCAAATTAAGTAGGAAATTTGTTAGGAATTGTCTTTCAAATTTTATATATATAAATTAAAGATCTGAAATTTAAGGATATCTCGACGTATTTTATTTATCAGTGGGCTTATTTCCATGTGAACATATATCTATGTGAGCTTTTTTCGTGTGAGCGTATTTCTAAGTGAGCATTTTCCCATGAGAGCTTTTTTCTATGAGGGCATATTTCTGTGTGGGCTTTTTTCCTGTGAGCATTTATACACGTGAGCAAAATTCGGGCTTCCTAGTGCCCATGTTCGGTCGGAAGACTACGTTATTCAAAATTGGATGGCTCTAGGTACCGTTGATTTTACACAGTGCGTGAAACATTCATATATTCATGAAGATTCTTCATTATTTAGTTTCTTTAAATATAATACATGTCGATAATACAAACTACTTAAGCTGATTCTCATTGCCAGTTCGACTTGTTGCCTAATAAACATGTCGATAATATTTGGTTGCAACAGTTTGAAAAGTGATTCGTTGCGAAATGCCGTTTTGAAAGGGCTAATGCCCTTTATGCTAAAAATTGCACTTAAAAGGACGAATACCTAATACTAATAGAAAATAATTGTTTGCAATGACGGTGCATGTTTTGAGGCACAAACTGCTTGCGCAAAGAGGAGATGACAAAACGCCATTGCCTTTGTTTAGTCTGTCTTTCGGAAAGGAACATTTGGTACGATTAAATAATGACTCACAAAGTATGCAAAGAATAAAACCGGCTTATATACAGGGTGATCAGCAAATAAGCCCTTATTTCAAAATTAAATATCTCTACAACAAAGATCGATAGAATTATGCGGTAAACCGTACGTTTATTAACAAAACTGTAAAAATGGTGTACAAAAGTTTAGAAAATTTAGTTACGAAAATCGTTAACAGATGGCGCTCTGCGCTGAAAACTCTTTCTCTGAAAGGAGTCTAAAAAAAAATAAATAAAAATAAATAAATAAATAAAATAAAATAAAGCAGCCTTTGGAATCAAAATACAATTTTTTCAAAATGTTCTCCGTTCGAAACAATGAGGTGGCATAAACGAACAAGGAAATTTGACATCACATCTTGCAATCAACGGAAATCATCTCAACGGAAAGGAATCACATGCAACTTAATAACAATTCAAGCTCATCTAGAGTAGCGGGATTGTTTCGATAGACAGTGTCTTTCAATGCGCCCCACAGAAAGAAGTCACAAGCACTCAGATCGGGAGAATATGGAGGTCAATCTATTCCTGTGTCAGTAAATTGCGATTATCTAACGCAATTACTCTATTCCCAAAGTAATATTCATGAAGAAAGCGAAAAATTTTATCTGTTCGATGTGGTCGAGCCCCATCTTGCATGAACCAGTCGATACCTGGTCGATCCTCCAACGCTAGTTGAGTGCTGACAAATTGTTCCAAAATTGTAACATAACGTTCAGTAGTTACTGTTTCTCGTACGAAAAAGAGCCTGATAATGGCTTTGGCGCATACCGCAGCCCATGCAGTAACTTTACGCGAAAGCAGTGCTTTCTCTTCACACAAATGAGGATTTTCGGAACCCCAAAATCTCCAGTTTTGTTTATTAACGATTCCATTCAAATGAAAATGTCCCTCATACAAAATGTCCCTCTGTGAACCAGATACAGCTCACATCAAATCTGTCTTTGTCGATCGTTGTTAGAATCTGATTCGCAGAGTCAACCCTTTGTTGTACAGCTCTCATGGGTATGGCCTGATGACTCTGGATTTTGTATGGAAACAGCCATAGGCTATTTTTTAATATTTTTTACGTGCTCATGTACTTAAAACCTTTCTCTGATGCAATCCATCGCATGCTTTTCCTAGGATTTTTCCAGAAACTTTGGCTGCATTTTCAGGAGTGACTACAGTTTGCCTAGTCTTAACATTTCCCTTTCGATCATCAGCCACGCTGCCAGTCCATTCGAATTTTGCGAAGAGCATGCGAATGGCTTTCGCATCGGGTCCAACTTGAACATTGAATTTGTTTTAAAAATTGCGACGTGTTGCCGTAGGACTGTGTTCTAATTGGTGAAATTCCAGAACCAAAAAATCACGTTGTTCAATGGAATACATTATTTCACTTTCTACGCTAGCCTCTGATCACTTTCGACCTCGAAGCACATTTAAAGGCTATTGATAGGTCATTGCGATTAGAGCGCCATCTGTTAACAATTTTCGTAACTAAATTTTCTAAACTTTTGTACACCATTTTTACAGTTTGGCTAATAAATGTACAGTTTACCGCATAATTCTATCGATATTTGTTGTAGAGATATTTAATCTTGAAATCAGGGCTTATTTGCTGATCATCCTGTATATGGCACATGATTGCTTTTGCAATAACATTGTTAAGCTGTATTTTCCAAACATTTTTGTTTTAATCTACATATTATACGAAATAATCTAAGTCAATTTAATGGCTTTTTTAAAAATACGCGTATAGTACTGCATTATTTGTATACCGATATGCATCATAGAAAAAAATTTAAAAAATATATCCAAATAAATTTAAAAAGAAAAAGGTTAATTTAAATTGCTTCAAAAACTAATAAACGAACAGTGAAGTTTTGGTGTTCTAGTGAGTTAATAATGAAGAAAAAAATGAAAATACTAAATTAATTGAGATTTAGAAATTCTCTCAGAGCCAGAAGTGCCGAGAAAAAGTACACAGCCATCTCGTGAATAATTCGAGAAACATTATAAAAGAAATAATTCTATAATTCGTTCCTAAAGTCTTTCCTTTTCCTTTCTATATTTCCTTATACTTTCGCGTACTTTTGTATGAGACAGTATTAGAGAACAGACTATATCAGGGAACTAAAATACTAAGATTTTTATGATATCATAAAACATAACTATAATATCGAATTAACCATTTGCAGTTACTGAATAGTGTCACGCCTGCTACATGAAATAAAATTAAATTTGCTTATACTAGTGAAACAAGCTGCATAAAAATGGATGCAATGAATACTCGACGAGGGATTATAACGAAATCTGGCTTCAGGCAGCAAAACACGACACTGCAAATGAATTATCTCCAAGGATTAATGATAATGCCGTGGTAACCAATGAGAAAAACATTCTTATTGGAGTATCAGGACAAATTTACATAAATCGATAAAACTGCGACAGGTCGAAACGGGACAAGAGTCTCTTTCCGCTCAGAGACTAATTTTATGAAAGTAATTTCCATAGGAACATTCATTGAATGCTTTTTTTCGAAATAAACGCAAAGAGATTCGTAAATTGATAATTTTATAAATCTTATTTCCTGAATAACAGTTTATTCGTGTTTGCAACGATACAATGGTAATAAATATAAGGTAATTGAAAAACTTAAGTATTTTTAAAATGTTATTTATGCTCATATGTTTCATCCAGATATCATTGCAAATCTTCTGTGTTTACACCAGGGGCAAACCTTTGTCTTTCTAATGACTTTTTATTAAAAATACTTAGATTCGAATCCAGGACTAATGCATACAGGTATGTATTGTATCAAGTGGTGGTGGTTCATGGGAACCCCAAATTAATCACAAAGGACCAAGCGTAGACAAGCCAGCTATTTTAGTGATGTTTGAAGATTAGACACGCTCAGGAACGACCTTCTCCAAGAAGAATCAATGATCTTGTAATTGTGGAACAGTCAAAAATATGGCCGAGCCTTAATAATGGCATCTGGTCACAATTATTGCAGGGAAGGTAAGGTCTTCTGCCATCTTTTTCTGTCTTATTACTCAGAAAGTGTTGAGTTCTGAGTTTAGTTTTTGTGATGTAAGAATTGGAGGCTCCCTTCAGTCCACCTGGACACGAGTGTTCCCATAGCTCGAAAGAAGGAGCCGATTTTCAAGTATTGTGATGTCACGATAAGCATTAATCTCACAAATCTGGAATCGTTTTTGATGATACTTCCTCTAAGATGATATCTTTCGATGGCATTTGCATCATCGAGAATAATTTGATTATTACTACCATCGCTGAGATCGCTTGCCGTTTCTGAGAACCTGGCCCATACGGAATGGCTGGACCTATAAGGAGTGGTGGATGCATATCCTATAAGGAGTGGCGGGGAACATACATACATACAATGCAGACTCTTCCTTA